CATGTTTAGGTGAAACAAGTACAACTTGGGATGCCTTAGCACATGCTTGTATTGAACAAGGAGAATTTAATTTAGCAAAAAAATGTTTTAGCCGTATAAGAGATGTAAAATATTTGAGTTTATTAGCAAATTATGAAGTAAAAAATATTGAGATTTTAACAAAAAAAATAATAATAATTAAAATTTATTTATTTTTGCAAGGATGCAGCAAAACGTGGTGAAACTAAAATGAATATTAATCTTGGTGATTACTATGCATATTATGGTCGATTTCAAGATGCTGCAAGAAATTATCAACATGCTGGAGCACCTGAACGAGCAATGACAATGTTTACTGATTTACGAATGTTCGATCAAGCTAAAGTATATTTTATAAATAAGATTTTTTCGAAAAATATATATAATTTTCTTTTTAGGAATATATGGTCGCAGGTGATGTTGATCAACAGAAATTATTAAATAAACAAGCAGAATGGGCAATAACAATGAATGAACAACGTCGTGCAGCAGAATTATTTTTAGCAGCAAATGATTTTCAAAAAGCCATTGACATAGCTGGAAAAAATAAATGGGCAGATCTGTAAGTTTATTTAAAATGAATTGTAAAAATCATAATTCTTCTAAATATATAGATTAGCAACAATAACAGGTAAATTAGATAAAGCCCAAACCGATCTTCTACGACGTTGTGCACGTTATTTTGTTGAAATGAAACAATATACCTATGCAGCTGATGTTTATGAGAAAATGGGTGATATTAAATCTTTATTAGATATGCGTATTATTCTTTCACAATGGAATGAAGTATTTGCCTTAGTTCGTCGTTATCCAACATATGCATCAGATGCATATTATAACTATGGTCAACATTTAGCTGAACATGATCGTTTTGTTGATGCACAACGTGCATTTCATAAAGCGGGTCGTGTTGTCGAAGCACGAAATGTTCTTCAAGCATTAACAAATAATGCTGTTAATGAAACACGTTTTAATGATGCTGGTTATTATAATTGGTTATTATCAAAAGAATATCTATTAGCATTAAGTGAAACATTAAATGATGATTTACGTGCTGATTTATCTAAACGTTATCATCGTTGTTCATTATTATCTGAACTTTATTATGCATATCAATATATATATGAATATACAACAGAACCATTTGTTGATACACCACCTGTTATATTATTTAATATCGCACGTTTTATATATCATAAATTAGTTACTCTACCTGGTGATATACCACCAGCATTATCAAAATTTCGTACATGTTATGCTGCATGTAAAATAGCTAAAATTTTAAATGCAAATAAATTTAGTCGACAAATGATTTATTTAATGCGTGATTTAACATTTACACATAATTTAGGTAGTAAAAGAATTGAAATTGAACAATTAGCATTAGAAATGGAAGCAAGAACATTTAGTGATGATCATGATTTATTACCTTTATGTTATCGTTGTTCACATCATAATGAATTATTAAATACACGTGGAAATGAATGTTCAAGTTGTGGAAGTCCATTTGTAAGTTTCTTGATTGATTTTAATATAACAATTTTTTTTTTCGTATTCTAGGTTCTTTCATTTCTTTCATTTGATGTTCTTCCTTTGGTTGAATTTATTCTTCCATCGGATATAAATGATGAAGATGCATTAAATCTTCTTGAACAAGTACCAAATAGTCATTTAGAAAATGTATCATCATCAACAACAAAAATAAATCAATCAACAGCTAATCGTCTTGTTATTACTGAACAAGGAAATACAACACGTGCGGAAGATAAAGATCCATTTTTAAAAAAAATGAGTAAATATAGTCCAAATCCAGATGATTATCGACCTGTTGTTGTTGATCGTGCGTTACTTAAAGCAATGGATCCATCACTTGTATTTGTATGTAAATGGCCATTTCCATTAAGATGGAAATGGTATCGAATTATTGTACCTGAACAACCTGTTGGACGTTGTCGACATTGTAATAAAGTAATAGTTGATTTTTTTTTTTAAGACAATATATATATATATATATATATATTATTTGAATAGTTTTATCATAATGATGAATTTGAACTAGCTTTATTGGAACAAGGTGGTTGTCCATTCTGTCGAAATAAGAGAGATGGAGAAACAACAGGTAAATATATATATATCATTCATAAAATATAAGAAAGTCCTTGTTACTAGTTAATCCCTTTTCACTTGACATTATCGTCATTTGTTTAGCCTTGAAAATCAATAAAGGAATTTATCATAGGAATCGTGCAAGTATTACGTTATCTAGTTTAGGGGAAGGAGGGGTTGGCAAAAGCTTACGCTCAATGGTATTGACTTATTAAAAAACAAAGGATATTGATTATTTGAGGAGGGGAGGGAAGGGGTTCAATATGGTCCAAAATCGGATAACGTAATACTGGCACAGTCCCATAGATTAATTTTTCTCCTATTGATTTATCGACAGTATTATATAAGTTTTTAAAATTGTAGTTCAAATAAGAATAAATGTTTTATGCAGTTCAAGTCTCATAAAAGCCAATTATATACATATAGATTGATAAACGATGAAGAATAAACGAAAATAAAATAGTTCAGTAGAGTTTTTAGTGAAGAGTTATGAAATCTTTTTCGATTCGAAGTTAGATTTTATTTGGTTAGCAGCAAATACGACTGTAAAGGTGGGCGTGAGCAGGGGCCCACGAGCGGGAGGGGGGTGTGCACCCCCTCAGTAACTGCAAATTTTATATTTCTTTTTGAAATTTTGATCGAAATATTTATTTACACCCCCCGCAAAATTTTTCAAAAACTGCATTTTCCGGGAAATTTTTTAAAATTCTGGGGAATTTTTCAAAATTTACTTCAGGGAAATTTTCGAAAAATATTTTCCGGGGAGGGGGGAAAGTTTTTGGTTTTCCGAAAGATTCTGTACCTCTGCAAGGCCCGCTGCATCCCCTGAATCTTAGACCCTTGGCGCGGCCACTGGGTGTCGATGTTGTTGAGGTAGATGAAGAACAAACAACCATATCCCACCCTCATACCGAAAATTTTCCCCTTTTTTAGAAAATTCAATTTATTATTAATAAATTCTTTTTGTTTTATATTTAGAAAATAACGATGATTATTAATTTACAATAATATATCAATTTCTATGGTTTTTGTTTTGTTGTTTAATATTTTGTCAATAAAATATGACATTTTAAAAATCATTTACATAAATAAATCAATTTCTTTTTTGTATTGTCAAATATCCTAATGCTAATAAAAAACAAATGAAATATTTCATCTAACAACATGTTTTTCTGTTCATTATATTCAATGTCTTTTTTCTCTT